TTAGATTATATTTTAAAAATAGAATAAAGAATTCTATGCTTCTCATGTTTGCACATAAGTCCAAAAATCTCACCATATACAACCTTGAAGCAGGAGAGTCCCACAATATTCCTTTTCCTATCTCTTGCTAACAGCTTCCTTTTCAGCTCTGTGCATGGCCATTTGATCTTTCTGCCCGGCAGTGCCATGGCCGCTCCCTATGCTCCCCAGTCACTTCTTTAATTTTTAACTGATACACAAAACAAAGTTCTTGCCACTCTCTGCAGCGGTTGTGGAAGTCATCTTTCATGAGTGTCTTTATGAAGTATGATAAAAATATGATGAATGCTGCTGAGTCACATTCAACAGAAGAGCAGACTCATAAAAACATTATGAGGTGTTCTCATCCATTTCATCCACTAGATCTGGCACTGTGTGGCTCCTGGTTTCTCCCTAAAGTCAAAATGCCCAAGAAAACTAAAGGTTTTGAATAGATTCACGACACTGATGCAGCTATGAGGGCTCAACTAGACACTCACAAAAGAGGACTTCTAGAAATGCTTCAGAAAGTGGCAAGCATGATGGGATAAGTGTGTTCAAAGTGAAGAATATTTTGAGAGAGATTAATGGCAATGTGCTTTTATTGTAATAGACTTTTAAAATTTTATACAGTCAACATATTTTTCTATCATACCTTGTGCAAATAGACAAAGAAGGAAATGTTTAATTGCCAGTAGAAACTATGCTAAACTTACATATTTTTACAGAAATTTTATATTTTTTATTGTAGCAAACAATTGACTACCTCTGGCCTCAAACCACCTGATGTTATTTATCTTGACTGGTAGAAAATAAATGTCATTTGGAAAGTCAATCACTCAAGGTAAAGGCAGTCAAGTGTTCCACAAATCCCAGCCTATTGGAAGAAGGAAACATAGAATGTGGTTTGCTTTGCACACTAAACCATCAGGTGATATCACTTGTTGGTTTAGCTGTTTTTTTAGTTATTTCAGAGGCTATTTTTCTCATTGATACTGTCTTTTTTTACCCCAAGTCTTTTTAAAAAAAATTTATCTCAGAGAAAAAAAAAAACACCCAAAATTTCAAAACAAGTTAGCTGTTTTTTTAGTTATTTCAGAGGCTATTTTTCTCATTGATACTGTCTTTTTTTACCCCAAGTCTTTTTAAAAAAATTTTATCTCAGAGAAAAAAAAAAAAACACCCAAAATTTCAAAACAAGTTAATACAGTAATAATGGTTAATATATTGCATATTATTAGCTTTAAATTAGTTGCTCAGAGTACAAGATATAGTCCAAATAAAATTAGCACAAACCTTTCAATGAATTAAGAGAAATTAGTATGCAAGTGTGTGTATGTATGTATGTGTGCATATATATCTATATCTATCTATCTATCTCTATATATATATTTGCCTTTTTCTTCCTCCCTTTCTCCTTTCCCCTATTCCAATGTCTCTTTCCTTTTGAACTATTTCTCCCCAATTCATAATATCTATCATACATTTTGATTCTTTTTTTCCCATAGTTTTATTGAGAAACAAATAGCAATGAGACAGTTTCAAACCAAATTGGTAGGACAGTTTCAATAATTCACACATTGCATACATTCTTCCTAGTGGTTAATTGCTGTACAAGATGCGGACATGATATCCTATTTACAAACACCATTAG